TATAATATTGTAGAGAAGACTGTCTAGTTTAATGGAGGAGAGAAGAAGAATGCCCTTGATATCTCAGTATGAGGAGAGGGAAGCACCTAAGTCCTGGTAGAGGGACTTAACTATGACTAGGAGGAGGGTATCCTTATCACTGAAAAGGGAGAGGAGGTGGAAAAATTGGCACAGACTGAAATATATTTGTAGAGAAGAAGGTTTTCAGAGAACAAGAAATTTGCAAGTTCCTAGGTTTTAACAGCCTTTTGCCTCTTAAATAGGAGTCAATTAATTTGTTTAAGGATAAAAATTAATGGTTAAGAAATACCCAGGTTGTATTACACAGCTGTGGACACTTAGTTTGTCAACCTTCTAAACATAAAGTCATAAAAAATTCTTTGAACAAATGTCAATGGGAAAAAGCCATAACCATGCCTCTGGAGAGACTCTTAAAAGGAAATTGAAAGACTTTGTTTTATACCATGCTTGAAAACAATTAAGTGGTATAACCTATTTATGCTTCTCTCCATCCTCTTTCTCTACAGAAAGCAAATCCTCTTTGTATATAGCATTCATATGTCATAATTTTCAAAATGGTTTCCTCTTAGCATCTTATGGTCAAAGAACTGGTATCAAAGAGAGTGTATCTCAATTTTCTTCAGCCAAGGACCACCAAGAACACAACTATGGTTGGGTTTATTAGTCACTGCATCAAGGATGCACGGGCATAAGGTGACATTATGGGGTGTCTCGGGAAGAGTGTTGGATCTGTCTTAGAATTGGGGCTTCAGTTGGATACTTTCAGGGAGGATCTAAGGAAGCAGGAACTCATTCTGTAGTGAGTGCTGTCAAAAGGAATGGCATTTCTATAATTGGGTATCTCATTAAATCTTACAGGGAGAGCAAACTAGATTGAGGAAAAAGCTGTAATTGATAAAGAAGTTGTAGTCATTCATTGAGTGTGAGAGGGGGATATTTGGTATTGTGTGGATTGCACAATGGCCTAGTTTTTGTGTCACTTTATCATAGTCTCAGAGTGACTTTGTTTGAGATAGCTATTCTGTGAGATTAGATCCCATGGGAGAACATAGGTCTGGTTGTGAGCGTCAGACCAGCTTGAAATCACATTGAGTCTAGCTATGAATGTTAGATCAGTTCTGGACTGCTTAATTTTCTTTATATCCATATATGATACACACACACACACACACACTCTGAGTGGCCAGATTATTATGACCACGTGACATTTGTAGGCAAATTAGCTATAATTTCGTGCTGAAGTTGCTAGAGGGCCAGATCATTATAAACGTCTGAATAGCACAACATACCTAAGTATTGTTGCTGATCAAGTTCATCCTATCATGTTGATGGCGTATCCCAAAGATGGCTTCTTCCAACAAGACAATACGCCATGCCACGGTGCTCGTATTGTGTAGGAGTGGTTTCAAGAACACGAGGGAGACTTTACCTTGCTTAGGTGGTCCCCACAATCACCAGATCTCAATCCAATTGAGCATTTGTGGGATGAAGTTAAAAGAGCCATCAGGAAGCTGATTCCACAACCATCAAATCTCACAGAACTAGACAGTGCTATTCATCAGGCATGGTGTCAGATTCCTTGCATCACCTTTCAACATCTCGTGGAGTCAATGCCAGGAAGAATCGCTGCAGTATTGAAGGCAAAAGGTGGCCCAATGAAGTACTGATGGGGTGGCTGGTCATAATATTCTGGCCACTCAGAGTGTGTGTGTGTGTGTGTGTGTGTGTGTGTGTTTGTGTGTGTGTGTATCTACACATTTATATCCTAGTTTAACTAGTTTTTAATGAGATCCTTTCCTTGCTTTGGCAAGTGCAGTATTACCATATGTTGGGAAGAGTTAAGTTCTCTCATGATGTATTTCATCAGTATATCGAGATTTCAGGATACACTTTTTCAGCTGTATTAGTAGCATAAAATGTACCTCCACTTGGAAAACTTGTTATGTTTCCTGGGCATGAGCAGAAATAAGATGCTTACACTGATCCCGGTGGGAAGTAGGTGGTGATGGAGGCAGATAGGAAGGGCATTTTCAGAAATATTTAAAGGATAGAGTGGACAGAACTCAATGTCAAGATGTATGTAGGGAACCAAAAGAAAGAAGGCTGGCCCCTAAGTTTTTAGCTGACTAGTTTGAGTAGGAAGTGAAGTTGCTCCCCAGGATGGGGAGGAGGGGAGCAGTGGTAAGCTAGCTGGCAGGGGAGTAACAAATCTTAAACAAGACTCCACACAGTAGCATGAATCTGGTTGGGGCGAGGCCCATTGCTTCTAATCAATCTTGTAGGTGTCTAGTATCTAACAGAATAGTAATTTATTGTGAAACTGCCCAAGGAACCAAGAGCTTAAATTCTTTTGTCAGCACATAGGCAAAGCTCTCGCCATAGGCAAATCTATGTAAGTGACAAGATTACAATCAGATTGTTTGGTCTGGGTGGGGACATGACAAGGGAAGCTGGCCTGGGTATTGTGGTGGTATTGTTATCAAGGTATGACATCTATACTGTGTAGGGTTTTATGTGCCCAGTATAAAGAAACACAAAGCTAACCTCAAAACCATGTCCTGAACAGCCGTGTTGAAATGTTGAGTGCCAAGGATGCCAAAGTAGGTTTGATATCATGTCAGCACCTAGCACACGAGCTGGTGCATAGTAGGTATTCAGTGCATATTGTGAAGGTCAATCTAGGTTTAACAGAAGAGTACCCTATGAATTATTATTTATCCTGTGGATGTGGAGAAGGGGTAAGGCTCTCTCTAGCAGGCACTGGCCAGCCTTGGTTCAAAACTATACATAGTTATTATGGAACTGATCTAGGAGTTTTAAATAGAAACATGAAGGAAGGGAGAGGAGGAGAGAATGAAAATTTATCTGTAACCACACAAAAACAAATTAAAAGACAGGCTTCCTTTGCCTATTTTCATTTTGATATTCGGCACCCATGTAAAGAGGCAAAATACAGAAAGATTTAAAAGGCAGCTCTCCTGGTTAATATGTCGACTGTGCAGGGACTACATTGATCAAGAAAATTTGACATATTAAATATTTCTTGTTTCTTTTTCCCAGTGTCTTTTTCTCTTTCTATTGGGACAGGCTTTTCTCCAGCTGACTTCTCTCTGATCTTAAAAAAAGAAAATCACCTTTTCTTGCTGAGGTTCCTCTTTTTTATTGTAGTATTTTGGATCAGAACATACGATTTAATTTTTATCATAGGTAAAATTAGTAAGAGCTTTTCAGTGTGAGAGTTGCTTTCTCTATAAAGTTAAAGCAAAATCATAATTGTTTATTTTTGCTTATTAATCATGCATATGCTATATGGTTCTATTTTATTAAATTCATATCTATTTTGAAATTATGTGACACTTTCCCAGATGATTACACTATGAACAATGATTTAGATAAACCTACAGAGATGAAAAATCTTTAAATGGTGATGATTGGGCTGGACTTCAAACTACTGTTGTGGATGCAGCATTAAAGCCTATGACCCATCCCCCAGATTTCTTGGACAGGGACCCAATTATACCTCCTCTTTTTAGGCCCTCTTATATGTCCAATCTGTTACTGAATTGTTCATGTGCCTTTGGAAGTCTTTAAGTTCTCCAGTAATCGGGATTTAAACAGCATCCTGATAATAATTAAATATATTTATTAATAGGTTTTCCTCAGGACTTCTTCAGTATTTTGGTTATTTTTGTTTTAAGCATTCACAGCATTTAAGGGTTGTATTCTATCATTATAATATTAAGAATGAGACTATACAGAATGGGTGAAAAAATAATGGCTTCTTTTTGAGTTAGAAGATATCTTAGAGAAATTCTTAGATTGTAACCCTTTTATTTTATATGCCAAAAAGTTAAGATTAAAATAATTGGTGGCTTCTGAATCTCCCAAAAGAAAAATTATTTTTAAACATATAATTATGCTTGTTCAATCAAAATATATTATTTTTCAACATATAATTTTGGGCCCTAACCGGTTTGGCTCAGTGGATAGAGCTTTGACCTGTGGACTGAAAGGTCCCAGGTTTGATTCCAGTCAAGGGCATGTACCTTGGTTGCGGGCACATCCCCAGTAGGCAGCTGATTGATGTTTCTCTCTCATCGATGTTTCTAACTCTCTATCCCTCTCTCTTCCTCTCTGTAAAAAAATCAATAAAACACATTTAAAAAAACATAATTTTGCAACTTTAATGAACATTTACTCAGTAAATCAATTGACATAGTATAGTTTTTATGTTTTTCTTAATAAAAATTGAGCAGAAGACTGTGTGTGATGAACACATCATTTTAACTACTTAATATCTTTCCCATTTAAATAGATATAGAAAGGGCTATCTATTTAAACTAATTATTTTTAAATCTACATTCTTTAATTAAAGAAAAATGCTGAGGTATGCTTCTTTGAGCTTTCAAAACTTTTCTTGCTTTTTGTGGTGCTTCATTAATTGAGTAAATGATCCTATAACTGAATATAATTTAGTCAGTTATGTGAAGTTGTGTGATCATTCTTTGATTATGACTGAAATCTATAATTGGAAGAAGGAAAATAGTTTTATTTATATGACTATATTACTTTGTGATATAATTATTTCTTCCAGATGAAATTCTTTAAAAATTAAATTAGTTAATAGACTTTGGAACTAAGGATACTTCAGAATTCATCTGTGGCAACAACTTCATGTTACAGACAATGATATTGAGACCCAGATTGCAGAGAAATTTTCCGGGAAGACACTTTGGATCAGAACAAAACCCTGATCTTTCTTGTTTCTTTGTCCAGTGATTTTCACTTTGTGATGCATGTTGTTCCCAATACCAACCTAGATGCTATTAAAAACAAAGGGAGGGTGGGGAGAGTGCCAGAGAAGGGCATGGATCCTTTCAGTGAACCTGCTCAGTTTAGGGGTTCGTTCAGTGGGTGTCCAGCATTTGTTCTTCCACGGTGGGGAAATCATGCTAATAAAACCGATGTTTGCTTTTTAGGTGAGAGTTACGTGTGTGCATCGAACGAACCATTTCGTAAAGTTGATTACACCAAAAACATTAATCCGAACTGGTCTGTGAACATCAAGGGTGGGACCGCCCGAGCCTCGGCTGCTCCCACCTCGGTGAAAAGTGAAGTGAAGGAAAGTAAAGATTTCATCAAACCCAAGCTGGTGACTGTGATTCGAAGCGGAGTGAAGCCTAGAAAAGCCGTGCGGATTCTTCTGAATAAGAAGACCGCTCATTCCTTTGAACAAGTCTTAACCGATATCACCGAAGCCATTAAACTAGACTCAGGAGTGGTCAAGAGGCTCTGCACCCTGGACGGAAAGCAGGTACGGTGATTCTTAGCCCCCCGCTCCCCATCTTACTTTTAAATTCTCCTTGTACCGTGGCAGTTACATGTGTGACAATATGAGCTTTGTATCTGCTAGATATTTTAGTAGTGTGTGTGTGTGTGTGTGTGTGTGTGTGTGTGTGCGCGCGCGCGCGTGCTTGCGTGTGTATGAATTAGCCTTTATCATAAAAGTTGTAAGCGGCCCACCTGTCTCTTTTACACAAATGTCTCAAAATTATATAGAGAGAAATCTATACTTCTTATGGTCATTGGAAGGGAAATGTAAACTTGTGAGGGAAAAGTGTACGTTGAAGAGGCTTCCTACAGTAAGTGGGATGTTCTCTACTTAAGAATAAGAACACCTAATGACTAGTAGAGTCATTATGGGTTTGGGGAAGCCACAGAAGTAAAAATTAAAGATATTTAACTTTTTTTTTAGCAAAGCCTCTCCTCCCCACTCATGTATAATATGGAAAATGCATTTAAAGGAAAATATTTTCATGAGAATGTCCATATGTATTTCATAGGGAAGAATGGAGGTAATTAATCAGCATTTCTGAAAAAAATACATAAATTACACAGGGAAATGCATGCCAAATTATGGTAACAATATACCAGGAACTCTAATGGGCTAAAAAAAATTGGGCAAATTGCAAGTACGCATGAATAGCAGTTACACAAATACTGAGTTTTGCCACAATCAGATTATCATTCCTAAAAAGAAACATGTGGTTTCTGAAGTGTATTTTCTCTAGTTTCAATAAGGTTAAATTGTTTATATTTACATTGTATAAACATAGTTTCCAGTATTCACTTTGTTTCTTCATTTCATTTTGTTTCTTCTCTTGAAAAGAATTTATTTTGAAGTGTTTGGCTCATGTAGTACTGAAAATGAATAATACTAAACACTGGAGCAGTGTCTTCTGGCAGGGGAAAAAAAATAGTTTTCTAAGACCAGATCTAGTTACTACGTTGCTTCCTGGATCATTAACAAAATTTTAAAAATAGGTTCTAAAAATTCCAGTAGAGTTTAATGAAGTTATGACTTCTCTAATTAATTAAATTAATGATTAAAAGGCAGCCTGCCCCAAAACAGGTTCAGATGACTGGGAATAGCCACTTTACAAGTTGATTTATTCTGCAAGAAAGTGACCACAAGGAAAAAGGGAGATTTGATAAGTCAAATAGCTAATTCTTGGTGGACACAGGGGAAATACGAACTCTAGAGACAGATATTTAAGATGCCTAACAAAAGAAAAGAAAATCGTAAGTATGCCAAATTAGAAAACCTAAGTGGCATATAAACAGTATATGCAGATGAGATTTTAAAAATTGAAACTTATTTGGAAATCTCCAAATGAATGTTTTTAGGGAAATTTTAAGTGAAATAAAGAAGTTGAATGTCTAATTGAAATAGTAACATTGGAATTTTAATAGTTATCTAAAAAAAAATTATCTTCAAAAAGACTCCAGACTAGAAATATTTATATGGAGAAATGTTGACTAAAGCACTAGCAATCCCAAATCAACATATTAAAGAATAATACACTGCTATGAGTAGGGTTTATGACAGGAATGAAAAGATGGCTTATTGTTAAGAAACCTGTTAATACATGGGATCTAGAAGATAAAGTTATTGCACACATAATCCCCAAAAAGATATCACAAAAGCACTTGATAGAATACAAAATCTAAGTTCAATTAGGGATTTAGTAATAAAAATGGAGAATTCCCTAACAGACTAAAAAATCCTCTCTGAAACAAAAGGTCTGTGTAATTGGTATACAAATGAGATACTGGAAGTATTTCTATGATAATCAGGTAAGGATGCCTGATAGCAGCAGTATTCAACATTCTTCTATACATTCTTCCTGATTTTTATTTATAGTTTAATTGCAATTTCAATAAGAATCTAAATGATTTTGGGGGAAGCAGGGGGAGGGACACATGACAAAGTGATTTTAAAAGTTAATCTGGAAAAATAGGCAGGAAAATTTTGGAAATAATGATTAATGGGCTCTCATGCTACCAGATATTAAATCACCATTCTCATACTATACCAAAAATAAATTCCAGGTGTTTTAAAAATATTGATGTCAAAATGAAACCAAAGAACTAAAGGAAAAGATGTCAATAGTTATGGTGACATAGGAAAGGATTTTCTAAGCATACACATAGTGGGAAGATCACAAAGGAAAAGGTTGGTTAGACAACATAAAAATCAAAACTTTCTAGATGTTATAAGCAAGGGTTATATGTTTTTACATTAAATCATAATAGTTTAATATGAAAAAAACCTTAACACTGCAATGGCAAAATGAATCAAACACCAAAGAGACAGTTTGAAAAGGTAGAATTATAAATACTAAGTATAAGACAGCACAGTCTCACTAAATAAATATGCATGAAAACAATGATATGGTTTTTATATTTAAAGTTGACATGTTTTTGAAAAAGAAAATGTCCATTATATTTTGATATGCAGTTAATTGGCATTCTCAATGAATGATGGAAGTGTAAATTTCATAATCTTTATGGAAAGCAGTTTGTTTTGTACTATACAAATGTCCTTTCCATTTGAACTAATAATTTAACTTATCCTAAATAACCTGAGATGCCAACATAATTATGCATGAGAATTCATCCCAGCAATAAGATCAAAAGATTGAAAACAATTTAAAATCCCTAAAATAGAAAACAGTTAAATAATATTATCATAGCATTCATAGGAGTGGCCTTTAAAAATTGTTTGGGGGGCAATTTAAAGACATGGGGAAATGTTAAGTGAAAAAGGCAAGAAATAAACTCTGTAGTATGGTTTCAATTTTGTGTTAAGAAAGAAAAGTAGAGGAAAAATTTTTTTAAAAAGCTAATTCAGAAGGAAACACAATCATAGTTGCCATCAGAAACCTAGTACTTGCTGTTGTGATTTCTACTACTTCTTCCTCATGTCTGTTTAAAAGCAAAAACTCAAGCACTGAGAAAGAAAACAAAGACCGATTTCAATCAGATTGTGGAAATTAAAACATTGTGAGTTAATCCTTGAAATTTTGGCATGTGGCTATGAAATGTTACAAGCATCACTTTTGTCACTGTTTAGGTCTAAACATGATTTCCCATGTACAAAGAGAAGAGATATTTTTTAAAAAGTTTCAGATAAGATTTCTTTGGAACAATTAGATTTTGGTTTTCATAGGCACAGTTTTGGATACTGTATTTTCGGAGTGCCAGGTATCCTTCAAAGCTATAGTCTTCTTGGCGTTGATTCAACATCTGTTCTCTAGATAGACTTGCTATTTAAAACTTCATGTCTGTTGTGTGGTTGATATGTTATAAAGAAGACATTAAATCTTGCTTTGAAGTAGCATAAGAAACTTGTCTTATGCTTAAGATGAATGCATATCTTTAAATGGGCATTGTTTGTTCTGATTTGACTTTACAAATTGATTTTTTTTAGGGGGCATGTAAAACTATCTGCTTTCTGAAAATTCTCAAGGAAAGGACAGCTTTGCTTAGGTGAAGAGAGAGGAATGAGAAAAGAAGTAGGATCTGCTAATGAGTTGTTCCTGCACAAAATTTTAGGCCATCTACCTCAACTTTTTTATGTTCTTTCCTACTCAGATTGGTCGTTTTCATCTTAAATTGATCTGATCTTCGACACAAGCAGAGATAAACAGTTTCTAGGCAGTTCATTATGCAGTCACCGATTCCATTCCTGATACCCATGTTAGAGTTTTAAGGGGCCCTGGTTATCTTTTTTATGGGTTTAAAAGCTTTCCCGATTGAAGGGGCAATGAATGGTGTGGCATGTGCTAGTAGCATTTATGCTGGTAACACAATGTCCCTTGAGTCTTTTCTGTCAAAATGGATAGTCACGTCTTCCTAGTGGTATTGACTCAATTTACAAGGCCTGACGTGGTTAGTACAACTAACTCACGTATTCTGTGTCTCTTGTAAAATCACTTCAAATAAAATCAAATGTTAGGATTTATCCATTTTAACCTTTGGGTTTGCTTTCGTGTAGAGCAGTGGCTCTCAACTGGGTATGTTTGTGCTCTATGGGACAGTTAGTGGAGTTTGGAGTCATGTTTTGATGCCACAACTGGGGATGAGGATTCTACTGGCACGTAGTGGGTAGAAGCCAGGATGCTGTTATCTACAGTATCCTACAGTACACAGGACAGACAGACAACAGACACAACATAATTCTCAGGGGTCCAAAATGTAAATGGTGCTGAGATTCAGAAAACCAGGTGTAAAGTAAGTGAAGTGATTCAAAAGGAGATGACACTTGTTTGAATGTTAACTTTATCAACGAGGCCCATGCTAAACTTTATTTCAGTACTTACAGATTTCCCCATAGCCTGTCTGTGCACTTTTTATCTCATTGAGGCAGGTGTGTTGGAATGCCATGGTTTATGGTCTTTGTTGTCCTGGATTTCCATTTATTTGTCTTTGTTGTGTAGGGCTGACATGTCGTTGGGAAGTACAGCTTCACAGGCAATTAAGGATGGTTTTACATGTATTTAAAGAAAGTCTAAGAAATGATGATTTTATGGAGTTTTAAATATTTAATACTTAAACTGATGTGATGAGCATCAATTTTTAAAGAAATACACAACCTATGCATTTATATATGGGGTGACTAGAAAAAAGGATCTATAAATAGAAGTCATGACTATTCTCTTCAATAACTTTTTAAACTTGCAATTAATTTAAATTAAATGCTTTACTTTTGTTTTCTTTTTACAAATGGAACCTTGAACTTTTACATTAAAGGCATTATGTAGGACAACAAGGTTTACTTTTTTAAATTTCAAAAGTCAGGGTGAGTTTCTTATAATAAACTGCAGCAGGGGAGTTCTTTTTAAAAATGTCTTTATTCTGTTAAGGGACTGAAAGGTCCAAATATAGCTTTTGTCCACATGTGTAAAAAATTCTAACTTTTAGCTTTCCCAGAAACAGCAGAGTTTTAACATAAAAGAAACATATTTAGTG